GGATCTATCTGAGTTCGAGTTATACGTGTATAAACTACGAGTTATTCGTACTCTGCACTTGAAGCACATTTTTTTGTACATTTCTTTGCCATTGTTTTTGCATGACTACAACGTGAAGCTTCCAGAAACTTTCTAATTACACGTTTTATGGAGGAAATGTCGCGTGTGTTCCTTTTTGCTTTTTTTTTTTTCACTGCTGCTCATTTTCACCTTGTTGGCCGCTAGCATTTCTCATTTTCTCAATAAAATTTTCATGTTTTTCTTCTAACGAAATTGGCTTCCTTTGTTTTTCTCTCGTTCTAGCTCTTGCTCTGTTATCAACATCAAGGTAGACATAAAAATTTATTCGAAAGAAAGACTCAGGGCGGACTCGGCTTCGTTGTTGTTTTTTTTCTTCTCTTCCTAAAAGTCAGGGTGGCCATGCAATTTACCACAGAAACGCGCGAGTACTTGACATGCGAAATTTTACCCCTTTCTTACATGAAGGAGTGGACGTACGTACGGACGATTTTCTCAGAAATAAAATTTCTTGGATGCATAGATAATAAAATTATCTTACCGATGGTGCTCCGCTTTGTGCACTTCAAGCGCGAGAGTGCCGCTGATAATAATAATAATAATAATAATAATAATAATAGTAATGATAATAGTAATTATTGCACTAATAAAATAATAATGATAATAATAATAATAATAATAATAATAACAAATAATTATGATAATAAGTCAGAAGAAGACCTGTGTACAACTGTGTCTATTGTTTTAAGCGCAAATTCAGGCACCTTCTCACCGGTATTTGTGAAGAGTCTTCTTCTTACATCTGCCGCGATGAGATATATCCTTCGTAGATTAAACGATTGGGGAGTTAGAGTTCTGTGCTTCTATTAGATCAGGGGCCGTGACGAATTTGAAACTGGACTATTCATCCAATGTGTGATGCTACCGGTAATAACAGGATAAGGTTCTGAAATATTTCGCGTGTTGACAGCGATTAGGTAGTGTAAATGATATGTTTTTTCAAAGCATATGTAATTATGGCCCCACTTAATTATCATCTTCATGTAATAAGTTAGGAACGAATAACGCTAAGCCTGAGAATATTGCATATGGTGAAATACAACTTTCTGTGTAGTCAGTACATGAAAAAAGATACTCAAAGTAGCACTACTGCGGAGATGGTGGCTGAATAGTGAACATTTATTCGCCCTAAAAATTGGAGTTTTTTGGTTGTAACTTCAAACTTATGGAAAACTGTCGAAAGTCTGTTTACATTGTTGTAATGAATCACCCTTCCTTTCAAAATAAGTTATAGTTTCCCTTCTGACACCCTGACGGCTCTTGTCCATTGTCAATTACAAGGGGATGTGGTTTTTTTTACAAGGCAAACAATGAAACATTATTAAACAAGTTTCTTTCTCGTACAATTTCTCCGATATCGATCAAATGCACAGGATGTGAATATTTCCCCCCATTTGAATCAAGTTATATTTAATGATTCGCGGAGAATTTTGCTCGCCAGGCAAGTGGAAGTGTAAACCTAAGAAACAGGATGTGAATAGGATGTGAATCTCTCAAAAAGAACATTAGGAAAAAAGACCTAACGTCACTCTTAAACAACAACAATAGCTGCTGTAACCTTTGCAATTCTTAAAGACTACCTTTTATATACCTATTGTTTTATTATACAATTTATACATGCTACATATTTTAATTGCATATACATTATTATTATTATTATTATTTCTTATTTGTAAATAAAGCATTAATAAAGCTTTTACTTACTTACTAAACGTAGTTATTTAGGTTAAGGGTTATTTTTGCTCGCCCGTTTCTTTCCTTTACATAATATATTTTTTTTGTCGACTTGTTTCTTTCTTGTTTTTCAGAATGCTTTCAGATAATCCCGTGGAGGCTATTGGATCACATGCATTCACAATTCCAAGAGAGGACCTTGTAATGTAAGCAGTTGATACACTAAAGTAAAAACAATGTCTTACTATCCACTTCTTCTACTGGATTCTGTTTTTTAATGTTTGATTTCTGAAATAAGTCCCCATTTTCTGATATTATCTATAGAGGGTCCTGAAGGTGTAAAATGGGAACTGGGATTCGCCTTTTTATGTACTGGGAAAATGGGATTTACTGCACTGGGAAAGGCATAAACCATTTCTAAAATCAAGGGAAATGATCTTCGATTATGTTATATATGAGACAATTGCTCAAGTGTGCCTATTCTTTTTTTAAGTAAAAGAAATAATATATACACGTAGACCTCAGTAGACACATAGGATCATGTCAGTTTTTTCGCATTCGCATCCAATGCCTCGCCGCCACCCAATTAGCTGTTGTGGCTCGTCCCCAGGGTCTTTTTGTTTTCCGAGGTCACCATATTGAAAAACGAGAAGACGCTAGGACGATGGGAATGACATACGCACGTTTGTGCGTGACAGAGATCAAAATAGCGTCCGATTTTGGAAGTGTTCTACCTTGCTTGTACGCATTATGGTGAAATAACAACGATGCTAGCAAGACTTCCCTTCAGCTCAGATTTGTTAAATTTTGGCACAAAAACGATTCAAATAAATAACAGTCCAAACACTTTCATCAGCGACACAGGTGAACAAAACATACCTGGTTTAATTGATGCATTAATCATTCTTTAATCAACACAACCAGCACCGCACCAATCAGAAGCTGTGTATATATTTTTCGGAATTGTGGAGTTTCGGGGAAAGCGTTTCCTTTTTCCCCTCCCCCTTCTTTGTTATGCTTTCGTCCCAACTTTTTCGAAGACCTCGTGCGGAAACTCTTGCTGCGTAGGCTACCCGCAGAGGTTCTCAACGTAATGATTACAGCGGTAGCGAAAAATAAAGTGAAGACTGTGATTCGGATGAGGATTGTGCAGAAGACAGGTGGTTTTAATATGGTGGTGTCAACAAGGGTTGGAAGAGGAAGAGTGTTCACCAGCAGGATGAGTACTTTTCTTCAATCCAGGTGAATGAAGGTTCATAATCCAAATGGCATCAATCGGCGCTTTTACTTCATGATGCGCATCAGTTAGTAAGCGAGAACTGGAAATGGGATTACAGATTTGGTAACTGGGATTTGGACTAACGTCAGGCTGAGAACTGGGATTGGGTACCCTCCCCACATCCCCCCCCCCCCCCCTTTCGGGCCCCTTTTAAAAAAAAAATTAAAATAAAAGGTTGTTTTGTTTTTAAAATTTTTTTTTTATTTTTTTCAAAGGCTCGGGAGGGGAACAGTTGGAACTCCTCAAAAACAAACACACTGCTTCCCCCCTTCTTAAGAGGCTTTGTTACTTTGACAGACGAAGCATATTCGCGCCTTGCTTCAAGGGACGGGTTTCCTAGGCCCAGGCCCCAAAGCGAACTGGCAGCGCTAGAATATTCCTATCCAGCCGAAAGTAATGCGTTATCATAAAAAAATAAAGAAACCTTGACTGTGCTCGGTTCTTTTAATCAAGAAGTAGGGGCGATCTCGACTACCTCTCGTGTTTCCACCTACACCTCTTTCGTGCTCTAGCCGCTCCCTGCGTGCTTTACAACACAACAGAGCACAGTCGAGGCTTTTTTATTTGTTAGATTGAAAAGTGCGTTTAGCTCGTTATTTCACGTGTTACATTTACTTGTTTTAGTTTCTTTTCCCTTACTAACATGTCCGTTTAGGTACGTTGCTCACATTGTGGGTGGCTCCTCCTAAAAGGCTAGGGTGCACAGTCTGTATAGGAATTACCGAAGTCAATTTCGGAAATGCACACACTTTAGGTGTCCCAATGATAACCAGTTAATAAACTCCTCCCACTGGCTTTTATATCGGAAGATAATGCCTGTGGCTTATAGACTATCAGAGGTGGTCCGAAAAATAAATAACTGGCTGAGAAAGGAAGCTTTAAGGGCAAATGTGAAATATTTAGGATTGTCTCTCGATGCTCCAAAAAAACAGCAAGCCAAGGTTTACCTATTTTATAAACCTTCGATTTTTACACCAATTTTGAGCATTTAAACATGTTGGAAGAAAAACAGAGTCGAAAGTTGCGGGTACGGGTTTCGATGTTTACGAGTTCGAGGTAACTGAGTAAAATGACTGAAAGGTGGGGTCATATCGAAGGGAAATGGGACATAGTTTGAGTTAGAGGGGGATTTCGTCGGATCTATCTAAGTTCGAGTTATACGTGTATAAACTACGAGTTATTCGTACTCTGCACTTGAAGCACATTTTTTTGTACATTTCTTTGCCATTGTTTTTGCATGACTACAACGTGAAGCTTCCAGAAACTTTCTAATTACACGTTTTATGGAGGAAATGTCGCGTGTGTTCCTTTTTGCTTTTTTTTTTTTCACTGCTGCTCATTTTCACCTTGTTGGCCGCTAGCATTTCTCATTTTCTCAATAAAATTTTCATGTTTTTCTTCTAACGAAATTGGCTTCCTTTGTTTTTCTCTCGTTCTAGCTCTTGCTCTGTTATCAACATCAAGGTAGACATAAAAATTTATTCGAAAGAAAGACTCAGGGCGGACTCGGCTTCGTTGTTGTTTTTTTTCTTCTCTTCCTAAAAGTCAGGGTGGCCATGCAATTTACCACAGAAACGCGCGAGTACTTGACATGCGAAATTTTACCCCTTTCTTACATGAAGGAGTGGACGTACGTACGGACGATTTTCTCAGAAATAAAATTTCTTGGATGCATAGATAATAAAATTATCTTACCGATGGTGCTCCGCTTTGTGCACTTCAAGCGCGAGAGTGCCGCTGATAATAATAATAATAATAATAATAATAATAATAGTAATGATAATAGTAATTATTGCACTAATAAAATAATAATGATAATAATAATAATAATAATAATAATAACAAATAATTATGATAATAAGTCAGAAGAAGACCTGTGTACAACTGTGTCTATTGTTTTAAGCGCAAATTCAGGCACCTTCTCACCGGTATTTGTGAAGAGTCTTCTTCTTACATCTGCCGCGATGAGATATATCCTTCGTAGATTAAACGATTGGGGAGTTAGAGTTCTGTGCTTCTATTAGATCAGGGGCCGTGACGAATTTGAAACTGGACTATTCATCCAATGTGTGATGCTACCGGTAATAACAGGATAAGGTTCTGAAATATTTCGCGTGTTGACAGCGATTAGGTAGTGTAAATGATATGTTTTTTCAAAGCATATGTAATTATGGCCCCACTTAATTATCATCTTCATGTAATAAGTTAGGAACGAATAACGCTAAGCCTGAGAATATTGCATATGGTGAAATACAACTTTCTGTGTAGTCAGTACATGAAAAAAGATACTCAAAGTAGCACTACTGCGGAGATGGTGGCTGAATAGTGAACATTTATTCGCCCTAAAAATTGGAGTTTTTTGGTTGTAACTTCAAACTTATGGAAAACTGTCGAAAGTCTGTTTACATTGTTGTAATGAATCACCCTTCCTTTCAAAATAAGTTATAGTTTCCCTTCTGACACCCTGACGGCTCTTGTCCATTGTCAATTACAAGGGGATGTGGTTTTTTTTACAAGGCAAACAATGAAACATTATTAAACAAGTTTCTTTCTCGTACAATTTCTCCGATATCGATCAAATGCACAGGATGTGAATATTTCCCCCCATTTGAATCAAGTTATATTTAATGATTCGCGGAGAATTTTGCTCGCCAGGCAAGTGGAAGTGTAAACCTAAGAAACAGGATGTGAATAGGATGTGAATCTCTCAAAAAGAACATTAGGAAAAAAGACCTAACGTCACTCTTAAACAACAACAATAGCTGCTGTAACCTTTGCAATTCTTAAAGACTACCTTTTATATACCTATTGTTTTATTATACAATTTATACATGCTACATATTTTAATTGCATATACATTATTATTATTATTATTATTTCTTATTTGTAAATAAAGCATTAATAAAGCTTTTACTTACTTACTAAACGTAGTTATTTAGGTTAAGGGTTATTTTTGCTCGCCCGTTTCTTTCCTTTACATAATATATTTTTTTTGTCGACTTGTTTCTTTCTTGTTTTTCAGAATGCTTTCAGATAATCCCGTGGAGGCTATTGGATCACATGCATTCACAATTCCAAGAGAGGACCTTGTAATGTAAGCAGTTGATACACTAAAGTAAAAACAATGTCTTACTATCCACTTCTTCTACTGGATTCTGTTTTTTAATGTTTGATTTCTGAAATAAGTCCCCATTTTCTGATATTATCTATAGAGGGTCCTGAAGGTGTAAAATGGGAACTGGGATTCGCCTTTTTATGTACTGGGAAAATGGGATTTACTGCACTGGGAAAGGCATAAACCATTTCTAAAACCAAGGGAAATGATCTTCGATTATGTTATATATGAGACAATTGCTCAAGTGTGCCTATTCTTTTTTTAAGTAAAAGAAATAATATATACACGTAGACCTCAGTAGACACATAGGATCATGTCAGTTTTTTCGCATTCGCATCCAATGCCTCGCCGCCACCCAATTAGCTGTTGTGGCTCGTCCCCAGGGTCTTTTTGTTTTCCGAGGTCACCATATTGAAAAACGAGAAGACGCTAGGACGATGGGAATGACATACGCACGTTTGTGCGTGACAGAGATCAAAATAGCGTCCGATTTTGGAAGTGTTCTACCTTGCTTGTACGCATTATGGTGAAATAACAACGATGCTAGCAAGACTTCCCTTCAGCTCAGATTTGTTAAATTTTGGCACAAAAACGATTCAAATAAATAACAGTCCAAACACTTTCATCAGCGACACAGGTGAACAAAACATACCTGGTTTAATTGATGCATTAATCATTCTTTAATCAACACAACCAGCACCGCACCAATCAGAAGCTGTGTATATATTTTTCGGAATTGTGGAGTTTCGGGGAAAGCGTTTCCTTTTTCCCCTCCCCCTTCTTTGTTATGCTTTCGTCCCAACTTTTTCGAAGACCTCGTGCGGAAACTCTTGCTGCGTAGGCTACCCGCAGAGGTTCTCAACGTAATGATTACAGCGGTAGCGAAAAATAAAGTGAAGACTGTGATTCGGATGAGGATTGTGCAGAAGACAGGTGGTTTTAATATGGTGGTGTCAACAAGGGTTGGAAGAGGAAGAGTGTTCACCAGCAGGATGAGTACTTTTCTTCAATCCAGGTGAATGAAGGTTCATAATCCAAATGGCATCAATCGGCGCTTTTACTTCATGATGCGCATCAGTTAGTAAGCGAGAACTGGAAATGGGATTACAGATTTGGTAACTGGGATTTGGACTAACGTCAGGCTGAGAACTGGGATTGGGTACNTATCATAAGTTTTACTGACGCATCGATCATAAAGGTCACGCGCACATCTACTACAAATCACGTGATTGGTGGGGATTGTTGTGACCGAACTAGTCGGTAAATAACGAAAGATTACAACGGATTGAACCTTAAACGATTACTTTTATTCCGCCTTCACGACTCGTGGTCCTTAACAACTACAGTCGGGCGTTCCATGCACTACTGAGGGGGAATCTGGGTCCTAATACACTACAGGGATGATTCTAAGTTTATTCACTTTTACGTGCGTTCAAAGTCAGGTGGAAGAGGCGGAGATCCCTTCCCTTCGTTCATGATAAACAGGGAAAAAAATAATCCAATAAATAGCCAACAAATAAGGAAACTACATCAAAGGAACAGGACTAAGGAAAAAATGCGGAGAGTGAATTAACAAAAGCGGGAAGCATTTCAGGAACGAGCAGGTGTCAAAGATAAAGTTTGGTCATAACAATGAAATCGCTCAAAACTAAAACTTTGTAGAATACAGTTGTAGGTCAATACTCCTGTTTTTAAACTTTCTTTTTTTGTTTTGTTTTGTTATTTTTAATTTTTCCAATTACTGTTGCTAATATTGCCGTCATTGGTGTAGACCAGGCTATAGTAAAACCTGTACTTAAGAAAAAACTAAGTAGTTCCTATGGACTTTACACTTCGTAGCTAGACACTGCTCTATAACACTACTCTCTTGACCACAAAGCGAAATTAAAATATCTCTACTCTTCTTGTAGGAAAATATAATACAAAGCTTGTAAACTCTGAGTCGCACTTTTTTTGCCGGTTCTTCTTCTTCTTCTTCTTCTTCTTCTTCTTCTTCTTCTTCTTTTATTTTGACTTGAAAAAAAAAGAAGACATTACAGATACACATACGATGTTAAAAAATCAAAACCTTGAAAATTCGGTGATGGACCATAATCATATACTGTTTCTTCCTTTTTTTTTTGTTTAAGATATATGATACGAACAAAAACAAAGACTGTCAGTCTCCGATCTTTTTACGGCATTGACAACCTTACGATTGATATGTAAGTATGGTCTATGGTCTGGTCTTTTGCGGCCGGGCTCTTTGTCATATGAGTTTGGGTGCAAAGTTATTCTTGAAACAAGGATCTGCTATATTATTTCTTATTTGATTATGACTCCTATCATCTTTCTATCGCTTTTTTCAATAGAAGTTTAAATGAAGGAAAAATTGGGATTATGAAATTCAGGGATGACGAACGTAACTGCACAATTCATCTGTGAGTGAATTCATCATTACAACAACAAAGATATCAGAAATCTGAATATGTGCAGTTATTTTTTCTCTATCATTAGCTCTTAGTTGGTGATTAATTTTTCTTTTCATAATTTTTTTTTTTTACATTAGGGGATTAGGACGCGATGATTCTGAATATAGCGTCATTTCTGATATCGTCATTTCTGAAAAAGATTATTGGGTGAAACAACAAATACTAGCGGCTTTTAAACGATCTGGATTTGCCAATGAAAGTGGTGGACGTTATAAGTTACTTCCATGTGAATTTGGAACGTACGTTAATGCTTCTGCTAAAACCATCAACTGCACAGAGTGCCCAGCAGGTAAATTTATTCGCAGTTTATGAAAGCTGCACAATTATATCGTCGGGATAATATGTCTACATTGTTAGCCAGCCCTGTTCTCATTATGGTTTAAAGGTACTTACATGTAGTATTAGATGGCGTGTGCTTATCTCTGGAATACGAATTCAAAGTATCTATCTAAAGACAGTGATAAGACTCTGGTTGATAATTTTTTCCCTGTAAAATTTTGTTACGCGGGTTATCTTTTAGAGGACGGGTAGCTTGCAAACCAAACTGAACGCAGGGTTGTCGGAACAGCAACAAGAAGATTTATTCCAAAAATGAACGTAGTTTCCACGAAGTAAAACTCCACAACAGCACGTAACTCGTTAAACTTACACGGCCTCCGCCAACTTCAATTAACTTGATAAGCTTACACGGCCTCTGCCAACTTGAATAAACACTGCTTGCGTCACACTTGACTAAACCCGACTAACGCCAAACTCTCTTCGCTTATGAAAACTAGGTAAAANTGATGGACCATAATCATATACTGTTTCTTCCTTTTTTTTTTGTTTAAGATATATGATACGAACAAAAACAAAGACTGTCAGTCTCCGATCTTTTTACGGCATTGACAACCTTACGATTGATATGTAAGTATGGTCTATGGTCTGGTCTTTTGCGGCCGGGCTCTTTGTCATATGAGTTTGGGTGCAAAGTTATTCTTGAAACAAGGATCTGCTATATTATTTCTTATTTGATTATGACTCCTATCATCTTTCTATCGCTTTTTTCAATAGAAGTTTAAATGAAGGAAAAATTGGGATTATGAAATTCAGGGATGACGAACGTAACTGCACAATTCATCTGTGAGTGAATTCATCATTACAACAACAAAGATATCAGAAATCTGAATATGTGCAGTTATTTTTTCTCTATCATTAGCTCTTAGTTGGTGATTAATTTTTCTTTTCATAATTTTTTTTTTTTACATTAGGGGATTAGGACGCGATGATTCTGAATATAGCGTCATTTCTGATATCGTCATTTCTGAAAAAGATTATTGGGTGAAACAACAAATACTAGCGGCTTTTAAACGATCTGGATTTGCCAATGAAAGTGGTGGACGTTATAAGTTACTTCCATGTGAATTTGGAACGTACGTTAATGCTTCTGCTAAAACCATCAACTGCACAGAGTGCCCAGCAGGTAAATTTATTCGCAGTTTATGAAAGCTGCACAATTATATCGTCGGGATAATATGTCTACATTGTTAGCCAGCCCTGTTCTCATTATGGTTTAAAGGTACTTACATGTAGTATTAGATGGCGTGTGCTTATCTCTGGAATACGAATTCAAAGTATCTATCTAAAGACAGTGATAAGACTCTGGTTGATAATTTTTTCCCTGTAAAATTTTGTTACGCGGGTTATCTTTTAGAGGACGGGTAGCTTGCAAACCAAACTGAACGCAGGGTTGTCGGAACAGCAACAAGAAGATTTATTCCAAAAATGAACGTAGTTTCCACGAAGTAAAACTCCACAACAGCACGTAACTCGTTAAACTTACACGGCCTCCGCCAACTTCAATTAACTTGATAAGCTTACACGGCCTCTGCCAACTTGAATAAACACTGCTTGCGTCACACTTGACTAAACCCGACTAACGCCAAACTCTCTTCGCTTATGAAAACTAGGTAAAACTTAACTCGGACCTGCCTACTTATATACTTTCACAATAACATTCTAGAACTTTCTAAATAGTCTAATTTTATAGAAAGATTACAAAATATACCGCTACAGAAACGCTTACACAAGATCCTAAAATAAACAAACAATGAACTCTCGCAAACCTTCTAGAATGTCACGTTCAAAAGTCACGCAATACAATTTTTCGTAACAAATTTAATACTGTAAACGGAAAGGAACCAAGTTGTTCGAGGTCACTGGTAACATATCTTCATTGAGTCCAAACCTATATTTGTTTGATTTTGGAGTAAAACGGTGTTACTTCAGGCTGGAAATTTCAGATAGTGTGTAAGTTCCGGTAATGAGGAAAAGTACACAAGTCAAACAAATATTCGACAGCAATCCTATGATTATTGAGTGGACAGCGATGAGGAAAAATCGCTTTAGCTACAACATTTAGAAAGTCATGTTCGCCTTATATACTAGAAATACGTATAGCTGTTTTTCACTGTCACGCCATCGAAAATAAAAACCAAAACCGTTCAATAGTTTAAGTCCAGAATCTGGGAAATGACAGACAAAGAATTTTGGATCTAGAATTGTCGAAACAAAGGCTCTCCATGAGCCTCAGGCCGGTGCAATTTTTCACATGCGAGATATCGGAGATAGATTTAATCTAAATTGATAAAGCTTTTGTATGGAGGCGCCATGTTGTTACACCTCTGAGCGGCACCAACATGGCGGCTGAAAATTAACAGCAACACACGTTACCGAGTTTTGTATAACACTTTTCTTAATTAATAAAAGGACTGCTCAGATAGCAAAATTAGAAATTCAAATGTACTCTAAGACAGAACGAAGGTACCTTTCGAAGTGGTGATTTGTAAATAAAGCTTTTTGCTGCTGTAACACTTAATGAAAGTTAAAACTCAAGGGATCAATCATTCTTTATTTTTGAAATTTGGTGACGCTATGTGAAAACTGTTGAAGCCAAAAATGTATTAATTGCCTACAAATGTAATAAGAATTGATCACTGATGTAATTTAACGACCTTAATGCTATGAAAACCATATATACTCGATTCTGTCTGGACACAAAGGACCGCGGCGCTCTTTCGAAAAATACAATATATGCGCCGCCCTCAAATAACCTTAGCAATACGCGCCAGGCACTCTTTCGAATTAACAGAGTTCATTGGGTTAAATGAGTGCAGTAGAAAATAAAGTTTCTACGAAACAGCGCCGCGAACCTTATTTGTTTCCCTTCTTTTGTGTGCGGCTGTTATTACTGGGCGGTTCCATTTAGAAAAAAAAAAATGAAATCTTTTATTTTTTCGGAAGAGCACCGTGGCGCTTATTTGTGTCCGACTTTTACTGAGGGTGGCGCTCTTTCGAGCAACACGGTTTTGATAGCATTTAAAGGTTTTAATTTCATCAGTATATTTTTTACCAATTTGTATTACATTTAAGGGCTTCATTACATTTGTGGCTTCAACACACATATACTAAACTTTATTGATATTACCTTTTAGGCGATCAGAATAAATATCACGTGACAGTGACGACACGGTAGTTTTAGCTCCAAATCGAATTTTAGCCCTTGCATCGGTATTTTCCTTGAAAATGCTTTACGCTACGTATTACCTTTCTATAAATTAGATAAANTAAAGCTTTTGTATGGAGGCGCCATGTTGTTACACCTCTGAGCGGCACCAACATGGCGGCTGAAAATTAACAGCAACACACGTTACCGAGTTTTGTATAACACTTTTCTTAATTAATAAAAGGACTGCTCAGATAGCAAAATTAGAAATTCAAATGTACTCTAAGACAGAACGAAGGTACCTTTCGAAGTGGTGATTTGTAAATAAAGCTTTTTGCTGCTGTAACACTTAATGAAAGTTAAAACTCAAGGGATCAATCATTCTTTATTTTTGAAATTTGGTGACGCTATGTGAAAACTGTTGAAGCCAAAAATGTATTAATTGCCTACAAATGTAATAAGAATTGATCACTGATGTAATTTAACGACCTTAATGCTATGAAAACCATATATACTCGATTCTGTCTGGACACAAAGGACCGCGGCGCTCTTTCGAAAAATACAATATATGCGCCGCCCTCAAATAACCTTAGCAATACGCGCCAGGCACTCTTTCGAATTAACAGAGTTCATTGGGTTAAATGAGTGCAGTAGAAAATAAAGTTTCTACGAAACAGCGCCGCGAACCTTATTTGTTTCCCTTCTTTTGTGTGCGGCTGTTATTACTGGGCGGTTCCATTTAGAAAAAAAAAAATGAAATCTTTTATTTTTTCGGAAGAGCACCGTGGCGCTTATTTGTGTCCGACTTTTACTGAGGGTGGCGCTCTTTCGAGCAACACGGTTTTGATAGCATTTAAAGGTTTTAATTTCATCAGTATATTTTTTACCAATTTGTATTACATTTAAGGGCTTCATTACATTTGTGGCTTCAACACACATATACTAAACTTTATTGATATTACCTTTTAGGCGATCAGAATAAATATCACGTGACAGTGACGACACGGTAGTTTTAGCTCCAAATCGAATTTTAGCCCTTGCATCGGTATTTTCCTTGAAAATGCTTTACGCTACGTATTACCTTTCTATAAATTAGATAAACAGCAATTAAACCACAACTCGTTAATATATTTTCTCTAACTTACTTTTTCTCAGTGCTGCAATTGATCGGCATACTATGAAATCCGCGAATTTCATGTTTATTGAAAACAAAACTTTTAAAGTTGTTTAACGCAAACGCAGGCCCAAAATTGAAGCAATGTCATAGATTTAGATAATTTCTTGCTCTGGGATTTGCTATTTGTAGTGTTGTGTCAGTTTAGGTCTTTAGTATGCGTTTTGTGAACTAATTTTAAGTGTTAGGAGTATTTATGCAGGCGATGGTATTAAAGAGTGGAAATTATTTATTAAGGGTCGTCATTAGTTGTTTGCCTATAGCCGGTGTACTTATAGGTACTTACTTAACACTTCAGGCTCGAGTTTACAACAACAACAACAAGTACTTCCCATGCAGCACAAGATAATTTTCCGTGCGTGGCTGCCCATGCCACCGAAATCTTTCCCGAACATGGTAATGTTGTAGAAAGGGATAAAAGTGAGGAAAGGGAAAACAATTAGAGAACATACGTTTTATACGCGAGTTCATCAGACGTCCGCTATTTAAACCTATTCAGCAATTGATAACATTGCCAATTTCATTTAATTTGAGAAAGCGTGACACCGTCACTACCTCTTTTTACCAGTTTTCTCCCTTTCACAACATTACCATATTTCAGAAAGATTTTGGAAAGCAACCAAGAGCGGTAAATTTAAGCCAATTTTCAGGTATAATTACTAGTGTTTTATAAAACTGGTCCAGATTCATCCACCTTATTCCTGTATTGGTTTATTTCTCATATTTCAAGAGATAATAAGCTAAGAGAGCGAATCGCCCATACATGGCCCTGTTCCTATGAAATATATTTGAAATCTATTTTTGGTTCTGGAACTGCGTGGCTGTTTTAATGACGCCACCTTATTGGTCGGTTAGAACTGCGTCGTGTAATTCTATGCTTGACGGTTAATTCATTTCACTAACCATCACGTAGTAAGTAACGAAACGAGCGAGCTTTTTGATAAAAGTTAAATTGTCTATCGTCAATTCAATATATTTTTAGAGCTGAGGCATTTAATCCCAGTAAGTTTTCTGATGTATCACATCTACCTTTTATTTTCCCTCGCTAGTGATCTTTTTTGATCCTTTATTCTTTCAGGAGGTTTCTATTCGGACACGAAAGCTTTTGTAAATGACGGCTGCCGAAAATGCACCTTTGGAACTTTTGTACATTACAATAAAGCACCCGGGAAAAGACCGTTTGACTGCAAGCCATGTCCAGAAGGTAATTCTCTAAAACTCCCACTCTTACCGCACTATGGAGCATAATATTAGTTATCATTTGATCCAAATTCAGCTTCCTTCTCATTAGCCGAGACCCTATCACGTGACCTGCAATTAACTGCCTACAAATAATTGTCTGCTCATGCGTAATGTCGTCCTACTTTCTTTGCCTGCAAATAATATTCTCCTTATGGATCGCTCTTGCGAGAGTTGTAGTTATATGTATGTCCATATTGTATTTAGCTCTAATTAAAACTAGAGGTTACAAATATGTGTGTAATGCTGCACGCAGATACTGGGTGTCTGAGAAACGGTGAACTGATATACGCATGCAATTAACATATGTGGAATAAAGGATGATTTTAAGTGTTTACGCGCGCCACAATGAGTAAAAGGTAGCGCAAATTGGAATAACACAAAATAAATAAATGAATAAATAATGCGAAGATTTGATTTCTATAGTCTCTACAAATTAGCATAATAACAAAGGATCACAAGTTCTTCAAGTGAATACCTTTGCGCGAATCGAGCTTAAAAATCAAGACCACTTTTCAGCCCGTGTTCATCAGCAGAAAACTCAACGAAGACCTTAAATTTCGAGAAGTCAAGCCAGCCATTGTTAACCAACAATGTGCGATGCAGGATATGTTGGTTATACTCGCGGCCACCTCCACGAACGCGTTGATGGACACAAACAGAAATCGTCGTCAATTTGTAAACATTATCTTAGCGAACATAACTCGGACGTACCACCTTTTCTTTCAGAACAATTTCACGTGCTCACTAAAGGTTCTAACAAATTTGATTGCCTAATTAAGGAGATGCTCTTTATAAGAAAACTCAAACCATCCCTAAACGTGCAGGCGGACTCGATTCGCGCAAAGGTATTCACTTGAAGAACTTGTGATCCTTTGTTATTATGCTAATTTGTAGAGACTTTAGAAATCAAATCTTCGCATTATTTATTCATTTTGCCTTGAGAATGGTGTCATGATGATACCGAAACGTCGGCTTTTAACGTTAATATTCGCTTGCAGATGTATTTAAAGTTAAAATAAAACAGCGTTTTTAAGGGTATTTTTGGAAAACTAAGTTTTAGATATTTGACATTGTAAATTTAGCTGAAGAGCCTTTTTGGGGAGATTAATAAAGTTATTATTATTGCCCCCGCAGGGATTTCGCCCAGAAGGCGAGATCCCGAGGAGGCACTCTAGTAACTCGCGCGTATATTAAGGAAAGTACTTACAGTTGAAACATACAGTCACAAAGTCAATATAGAAAAAATCTCGATTTGCTTGACCAGGGGCCGCGAGGAATCGGTAGGTAATGATGACGTTTCTATTGTTTGCGCCCGCAAGTACGAAATGGTTAGGATGACGTAAAGAAAGAACATCCCCAAGGGACCGCTTAGGTAGATTTTGTGACATTTATTGTGCAGTCATACTTCGACACTCTTTTGCGTTACGCGGTTATCAGTGACATTCTGTGGAGCAGTTGTTTCAGTGAAAGTTATGGACCAAAATTTTAACGACACTCGTTAAGCGCAGAAGAAGTTATAAAGTGCGTATAAATGTGTATATATAAACACTTGGAGAGTTTGTTAGACACGAGTTCACAAATCTTTCATTGGAAACCTTGCCAGACACTCTTTCTCTCTCTTTTACCGGAATAAGACTCAGCTCCAAACAAGCAAGACGAGTGAGCAACAGCTAGCTTCTCACTAGCAAACGATGTACGATTACAGAAATTCGCCAACAATCAAATTCTGTGCTGACTTATTCCCTGCTCACAGATGTCCTTCCGCTATAAAGTTTAAAATAAGACTAGAATGCGCGAGTGTGAATTAATCAAACGTCCTTTTATTAAATTTCTAAGGCTTCCTTTCCGGCAAATAAAATGAACTGAATGTAAAAAGTGAAAGAAAAATAGCGAAAAATTCAACTTCTTATTAAATCTTTTCTTATGGTTTAGAATAAACTATTCTCGAAACTTCCAGTCCAGTCCAGTCACTGGCAATATTTTCAGGTCAGGTGCATGTTCTTTGCATAAGGAACTTTGTCACTTGGGCCTGATTAATACAAACGGGTAAGTGACGTTTACTGAAAATTCGAGGACTTCGAGAAGTGAGATTCTCTGATATCTCAGGTCACCGGAGTATTCGGATCTGTATCGTACGCCAGTGTTTGTTTACAATTGGTGATAACAGAGATTACGAGTAAATGAACTTTCCAAAGTTTGGCTCAGAAAGTTTAGTCAAACTTATTTTCTTGTCAAGGGCTGCTGCAGTCTAAATTCGAATAATATGTCGCAATAGAAACCAAACACTGAGTTTTCCTGGTTGAAAAAGTGTCAATCAACCAAGTAAGACAACAGCGAGCAAAAGGAGGTAAAATGGAGAAACCCCTCAAATCACACGTACACGTTTTCGTCTAGCGCGCTTGCTTTTGGTGGGCCGAAAAGGCTTTTAGTATGACATACAGGAAGAATGGTTTCTTCAAAAGGACCCTTTCACACCGGCTAAATATATATACCCTTGATGCTATAACATTCTGAAATATGGTAAAATTCACTGTATCAACAAAGCACGAAACATTACTTTCTTTGCGCGGGTGTTAAAAATAGAAAGAAAGCCTAGATCAAGATAAAGTATAGCTTGAAAGTAAGGTTAAGAAATGTGCAACAAACTTTGTAAAGATGAACTATAGATTAGCTTTCGTTTTCTCGTACGAGCGTTTTGAAAATGCCGTTTTTTGCATAATTTGCTTCGGGCCTTCGACCAGGTTTAGGCCGATTTTAAACATTCCTGTTTTTCGCAAAGACGGAGCTTCGCTGGATCTTTTAAATATTGTTTTTTAAAATAGTTTACCAAAAGGGTTTTTTTTCGGTGAGATAAAAAAAATCGAATTTTTTGATCCGGGGCCGGATTCTCGATATTTACTGAGAACGGTTCTTAAATTTCTGCGTTCGCGTGTTATTGAAAAGCGCTATCTTCGAGAAACTTAACCTCATTAATTTATGCAAGTATCTCTCACAGATTACGACAATTCGTTTTGAACAATTTTGTTTTATTTTTTTTTTGTTTGACAGGAACTGACACAACTGCATTTGCAGGATTTCGCGCCTGCAAATGTTTGAAAGATCATTACCGTACGAATTTGTTTGGGGCTTGTAAGCCATGCGAGCTAGGATTAGAATGTCAAGATGAGTCTGTAAATCTTAAAGATGGCTTTTGGTGGAGATGGGAAAGTAAGACACACCGTGAGCTGTACAGAAACTTCACCAAAACCGTAAAGGACTCCTCATTTACTCCTGAATTACACAACGCGAATGATTCCGGTATTGAATACCCGTACACCATTCCTCAACCGTACAGATGCCCCATGACAGAAGCTTGTGAGGGAGGTTTGAATTCTTCATGTGAGGCTGGTTATGAAGGACCATTATGTGCAGTTTGCAGTGGTGGATATTATAAACAACTGAAGAAATGCAAACTGTGCCCAACTAAAGGATGGATGATCGGACAGCTTGCAATTATGGGGGCAATAATTATTTTACTGGTTATTCTGGTGGTTTGGAGAAGCAAGAAAGAGAGCAAAAACGATATTGGACGATCTTTTCTTGATGAGGTCCTTGGAAAGATTAAAGTTATAATTGGCTTTTATCAGGTGACGTCTGGTATATTGGAGGCCTTTTCATACATAAAATGGCCTAGAAGTCTTTCTTTTATTGGAGAATATTCCGAAATTGCCCAGGGGAACATTCTTCAGATAGCTCCCCTCCACTGCGTCCTTCCCAGCTTGGAACTTGATGCATTCGGAAGTCTGTTTGCAACTATGGGATTGAACATTGCAGCAGTCATAGTCGCCCTTGCTAGCCTTGCCCTTGCCACTTGGACATCGACACGACATATTCTGAATGAAGAGGCAAAAATGAAGAAAAAAGGGCATATTAAAGCTGTCGTAAAGAGAAATCTGTTTTTCTTTCTTTTCGTGACCTATCTGAACACTTGCGTAAAAACAGCTCAAGTTTTGCCTCTTGCCTGCCACAAGATCTGCGTTAACGAAAAAGATGAAAGCTGCGAGGAGTATTTAAAGGCCGACTACAGCATTAACTGTAATGGGGAGAGATACAGCCGATTTGTCTTCGCAGGATACTGTTCCATTGTGTATGTGATTGCCCTGCCTGGTGCTGCTTTTATAGCAATTTGGAAACGACAGAGAGGTGAAAAGAAAAATGAAACAAACGACACAAATGGTCACGAAGATCAAAGCACCGAGCAAACCGGACTTCGTTTCTTACACGAAAACTACAAGCCTCATTGTTGGTATTGGGAACTGGTGGAGACAGTTCGAAAGGTTATTTTGACCTCTGGATTGATCCTTGTGGGTGGTGAAAGCAGAATTTACATTGGATTGGCTTTGGTTTTCTCTGGTTTGTATGGGATGTATTTCGCGCTGAACTCGCCAATAACTGATCCACTCGAAAACAAGCTTATGCTTTCTTCACTTGCCGTTACCTTCGTAAACCTTGCAATAGGAGTCGTCAGCACAATCCCGGATGAAGGTTTTTCGTCATCAGTCGACCCAATCTTGGATAGCTTGTTGTTCAATGGCTTGGTCATTGTTGCCAACTCCTTGGTCATTGGACTACTTGTCGGTAAGTAAGGATAATACAAAGTATTTGTCTGTCAAAACATCCTGCTACATGTTACAGGCGTAACCCGTGCTGAATACCTCCATGGAATTCCATGGAATTCCGTGGAACTCCATGAAATACCGTGGATTTCCATGGAGTTCTCCATGAATCTCCATGGAATTCCATGGAATATCCATGGAGTGTCCTTTGAGTTCCATAGAATTCCATGCGGTTTGTATGGGAATCCATAGAAATTCATTAATAAAGCAACTAATTAACTGGTTAACTGCATGTTCAAGTCTAAACTTTTTATTGGACAGAAAAATAGAAAACAAGGCAGGTTTTTAAAAGCAAAATAATGCCTAAGTTTAAATTATCCAACTATTGTAACTTGTTCTTGTTCACCTTTCATGCTGAAACTCAGCGTAATAAATGTTTTTGCGGGCGACAAGAGGAGCCCGCAGTCCTAGTCTCCAGGTTGTTATTACGCATGAGCCGCTTGTAAGTAGCCAGCATTCGTTTGGACGTCCACGAAGAATGAATGGAATGCACAAAACGCAATTTGATCACGTGCGTTTCGACCTTCTACCCCTCGTAATCTGATCACGCGTGTTTTGACCATCTGCCACGTGAAACTTACGCAAAGCACAGCATTGAAGCAAAAGCGTTTGGACCTCCGATCGTTGTCTCCCACACTCCCTAACCTTTGGTTATTACTAGTTCCTAACTATTAAGGAAAAAAGGTTTTTGTGTGCTTAATAAAAAATGATCCTGTGTAAATAATAAAATGTAAGTATAAAAAATTGTTTCTAGTGAGATTGTCTGCCAACTATCTAGCAAAATCAGAGTTGCATTTATATGAGAGGATCTATTTTTTATAACAACATGAAGCCGCGTCAATATAATAAATAACTATGAGTGATCCCACGAGGCACGAAGCTGTCGATATACAAAATGTCTTGAGGTTGAGAGTTGAGACTCCAGTCCAACCTGAATGATGACCGAGAGCACTCTGCATCTGCTTTGCATGGAGTTATTCGAGCTACATTTTTAGTCACATCTGTGAATATGTGCGCTTATTTTCAAAGGCTCCCTCACTTAGAAGAACAATAACATATATTTTTCTCTCACTGATTTACTCTTCAAGAGCGTCGGAATGGTGCATTTAACTCTGAAAGGGACCACATCTTTTAAAGACAGACAAATTGAGGTATTCTTCATGGAATTCCTGATCTGAGTATAAAAGGATGTTCAGCAAGCGAAAACAGTTGCGAAATATGAAATTCCGAGCGAAATCAACACTGTTGAAAATTACTCTCAGCATCTTTCATTTGCTCATATTAAACTCAATCGTGTTTTTTTTTCAAAGTGGTCACTAAAAAGCCTGGATTTCGACAAGAGTGATTTTACTTTTGAGTTCCCCTTTTTAGAAGAAAAAACTACATTTTTTTACATAATTTACTGGTTGAAATAGACAAAGAACAGCTAAGCAGAGGTCTCGATGTTTTGGTTTAACAAAACAGCTAGTCTCTATACTAAAATCCTTGACACGGATGGCTCTTCAAAGTGACCAACTGCATAGATTTCTATCTCATGGTTAGCACAATCAAGGTCGTTACTAAATTTACATCGTTAATTATACACATCAACTACAATGAAAATTAAAGTATCGAGAATCTCACTTCACCTGACTGATAACCATCTATTTTTATTAAACTTGCTGCTTTTGCGCTTTACTTTGCATTTTGAAGATAGGTCTTCGATTGCAGGGTTGTCAGTCCACCTTAGTTTCTGCATGTTTTTGCTGATCACGATCTATTTTGATCAGACGTCAAGACTTTTTGTCATGTCATGACATCCCTGCTCCTCAGAACGGCTAAACCTCTTGGTCTCAACCATTTTCTTCTGCTAATATTCTTAATGACCATTTTTCTTCTTTGGGAAAAAAGGCTAGCTAGCACAATTCCAACGCCACAACAACATCTTTTAAATTACGTTAGTCATTGCAAAGAACCATCCGACGAAGTGAAATTTCAGATACTCTCCATACCAAACAACAAGTCTTATGGTCTTTAGTAAAATCCAACTAGTGGTCTGTATCAATGCTGCGCTCTGATTGGATAAGCTACTACTAGGCTATATGTTATAGCCCACTAGTAGCGAAGAGCGCCGGATTTTTAGCGGCAAAAAGGGATTTACGTCTAGCTTTAACCAGCTAAAAGTTGTTTTGTCTCGATATTTTTAAGCAACTAGTTGGATTTTATTAAAACAATTATTCCTCTCGCCCTCATGGCCTCTGAGTCAAAAGCCCATTCGGCCTTCGGCTATTGACTCAGAGCCCATTCAGGATCGAGGAATAATTTTGTTAAGTATTCACCTCCCATAAAATTATTTAAGTCTGCAAGTAGTATCATAGCTCCTATTCAATCGGAAATATTGAATATCTCAGTAACATTAGGAAAATATCCTTCAAAACTTAAATTGTCCAAAATAACTCCAATATTGAAGAGTGGCGAAGATAATGATGCGAATAAACTACAGACCTATATTCTTATCTAACTTTTACAGAATTTTTGAAAAGATCGTGTACAACAGAATGAAAGATTATATTGACAAACATAAATGTATGTTATTCACCGGCTGGGAGGTCCATTTTGGGAGAAACTGTTCCCGAGGTCTTGAGTACCACCCGAGGCCGTAGGCCGACGGCGGTATTTCAGACCGAGGGCACAGTTTCTCCCAATACGGACCGACCTTTTATTTTTTTTCCTACTGAGACTTGAAAGTTTCTGGAAAATTTTCCTTCACTCTCCAACCTATGTGTGTTGAAGTAGGACGCGTTTGTGTTGATGAAGCGCGCGATCGATTGCAAACCAAAACAAAACATTACAACATGACTTTTAGCTCGATAATTTATTTTAAGGCACTTAATGCTCTCTTTTAAAATAAGGAAAGGTTTTTGTGTCTTGCTAGACAACTCATAATCTGAGTGTCAAACAAGAATAAAAGAATTGACGAGCTTGATATTAAAAGCCCCAGGGTGAAAAATACAGCAAGGGTTTTTTTCGGCCGAATAATTCAAAAATTGCTTTAAGATTATCAATTGAGCGGGATCAAAACTGTACAAAAGAGCTAATTACACATACCAGTTTTAAGGTTTTGAATTGAATTCGAATAGAAGAAGGCGATTTGAGTAACAAAAGATAAACAAAGAAATGAAAACGGCGATAACCGACGGCTGGAAAAGTGATTCGTGTTGTTTATTTAAGATTGAAAGCTAACTGCAATCATTGAAAATGGAAAACAGAACTACAAAAATAAAAGAGCAAAAATGTCCAATAAACGGTGCATAAAAGCAAGATTGCAGTACTTACAGCGCGGTTATAAAGATGGTGAAGCGACATCACGAGCCACCTGTTTTTCTTTACTTTAGCTGTTTTCCTGACTTACTTGCTGATTATCCCTTCAAATTTTCTGTCTGAATAATAAAATTCACTTTTCCCTAGCTAATTCTAATAATAGCGCAAGTTTTGAAAGAAAAATGGTTTGAAAATGACGGTTTTTGCTCATTCACAAACAACAAACAAACTTGTGAATGAAGCTGCCAACGATTCCGCCCAGGTTAGCGGACAAGATCGTAAAATAACGTCCACTCTCGTATCCAATCACATTGCAGGATTTGGAAGATTGTGCCCGCTCGCAAGCTTGGGAAAAAAAATTTATTGTATGGCTCCAAGTATTGCTTTCGTAAAGGTCACTCGACTAGAGATTGTAAACGCAATACAAACTAATATGAATCAAGGTCTTTTTTCGTGTGGAGTCTTCATAGACCTCAAGAAAGCTTTTGATACTGTCGATCATTATATTTTGCTCGACAAACTTAATCACTATGGTTTTCGTGGAATTATTAAAGACTGGTTCTCCTCGTATTTGAATAACCGTATGCAATCTACCCAAATCGGACCATACATTTCAAACAAAGCTAACGTAAGCTGTGGTATTCCCCAAGGATCTATCCTTGGCCCATTGCTTTTTTTTATTGTATGTCAATGACATACATTAATGCTCGAATAAACTTAAGTTTTATCTCTTCGCAGATGATACTAATTTCCTTCATGCTGATAAAAACTTAAAGTCCTTAGAAAATATGGTAAATATTGAATTACGAAACCTCCACGAATGGTTAACATCCAATAACTTAACTCTCAATACTACAAAAAGTAACTTTGTAATCTTTCACCCTTATCACAAAAGAGTCACTTACCAACCGAGCCTCTACATGATAGATAACGAGAAAAATGGAAATGTAACTTTAGAGTCCAAAAATTTTATTAAACATCTTGGTGTGTTGGTTCCCTCAATAAAATTTTAATTCTCCAGAAGAAAGTGCTCCGCATGATGTATTTTACGTGTATAGGTGAACACGCAATTCCTCTATTTATTCGACGCTGACATATTACCAGTGTCATTTATGTATTATAAAACTGTGGCTAGTCTAATGCACGATATTAACAGCAACAATTCGCCAACAAATTTCTTCAATTCATTTGAAAAAAACCTCAACAATTCATTCATACCATACAAGATCATCTACTTCAGGTAACTTTCACGTTCAAAGCTCAAAGCTGGAAATACACAAAAACTCCTTGTCTCGTTTTGGTGTAAAACTTTGGAATGAGATACCATGTCATATTAGAGATCTTCCTAAAAAGCAAGTTTCGAAAGTGCTTCACCGATTGCTTTGCAGCATCTTAAAAAGTGAAGATGACTATACTGAGACGTCATTAAAAATTGAAAAAGTTCGATAAACGGTTAAGTGAGTTCTGTACGATAGTATTTGTTTTTTTCTCACTCCGTCAATTCCTTTTTCGTCTTTCCTTAGTAGATTTAATGTAATTAAAATAAAACTATGATAGAAATATTATTTATTGAAACAGTTAAGTGATTTCTGTACAAAAGTATTGGTTTTTTTCGCACTCCGTCAATTCCTCTTTCGTCTTTCCTTAGTAGATTTAATGTAATTATAATA